ACATAATTTTATAATAATGTAAAGTAGATTATCATGTTTGACATTTCTTATTGCAGGAGAATCAGACATAACTGAATAACTAAACAGACATGTTAGGCGCGAAAAATTAAATTATAATTAGAAAAAAAATATTCACACTTATTTGTTATTTTATATATGACAAAAATTATAATATAATATAAAAATTATATATTTATAATATATTTTTTTTAACATATAGAATTACAATAAAAAGATAAATACAATAAATAGAATAATAACTTTATAAAATCTAATATAAAATATGAATTAATATAAAATATAATTAATAAAATTATTTGAAATTACTAGTAGTATTGTTACTAGTGTTATTAAGTTTTATAATAATGAAAGATTATTATATATATTTGATAAACTCCGAAAAAACGTGAAATAAAATCCAAATTAAATAAAAACGGGATCGTAAACATATATTATTTAGGAATCATTCATAAATGATAATAAAATTATTATTATTAATAAAATATTATATAGATTATATTTATTTTATATAATTTCTTATATAATATAAATAGAAAAAAATTAGTATTTTTTTTAATTAAATTTCCCTAATACTTTTCAAATTTATATTACTGATATATATGCGAGAGTGAGATAGTCATTTAGAGTTCATTGTAGAAAATGGCTTTACTTGCGAGAAACGTCTGCAAAGTACTTTCACAGGTAATAAACATTTCATTAAAATATCATTTTTTTATTTTTAAAAAATTAATGTAATTTTATAAATTACAATTATTTTAAAATATCATTGAATTTTATTAATATTCAATAAAATGAATTATCAATGACTATTACAAGGACGTTATATTATATTAAAATAATTTCTCTCAAAAATATATGAAAATCTTATTAAATAAGAAATACAATTTCAAATATTAAATAATTACGTACTTACAAAATATTAAAATGAGTAAATATTCGAAATTCAAAATCAATTAAATAATCGACTTCAATAATCATGTTATTTAATCATTACGTTTACGTCTATATAGATATAATCTTTTAACATAATATTTTTAATTAATTATATACAAAAAAATAAATGTTACTTACATTATATTACATTTAATTAATATTGACTATTATATTATATATACATTTATTTACTTTATTTTTAAACTATTAATTAAAATATTATTTATAGAATGCTCAGAAAGGAGCTGTCAGGTCTTTACATATAGGAACAGTACGTTTGCAAGAATCGGTAAATCTAATATATATTAAATTATCACTCAAATATATAGAAATCATAATTGTATAATTTTCATAATATTTTTTTTTAGGCAATTGAACAAGAAGGAAAAGTAAAATGTACCCTTATACCAGGAGATGGTGTAGGACCAGAATTAGTAGTTTCTGTTCAAAATGTTTTCAAAGCTGCAAATGTACCTGTTGAATTTGAGCCTTACTTTCTCTCAGAAGTAAATCCAACTTTAAGTGCACCACTTGAACAAGTATCTAATAGTATTGCAAGGAATCGAGTATGCTTAAAGGTAATTTTATATTTAATATTTGATATTTATTTATATTCATATATTTATTTTATATCAATATATTTATAGGGTATTTTGGCAACACCAGATCATTCTCATACTGGAGAGCTTCAAACTTTAAATATGAAATTACGTAAAAGTTTAGATTTGTATTCAAATGTTGTTCATGTAAAATCTTTACCTGGTGTTAAATGTCGTCATAAAAATGTGGATTGTATTATCATTAGAGAACAAACAGAAGGAGAATATTCTGCATTAGAACATGAATCTGTAAAAGGTGTAGTGGAATGTTTAAAAATAGTAACTGCTACTAAAAGTCAAAGGATTGCAAAATTTGCATTTGATTATGCAGTGAAACATAATCGTAAAAAAGTTACTTGTGTTCACAAAGCCAATATCATGAAACTTGGTGATGGTCTTTTTTTAAAATCATGCCAAGAAATTGCTAAAATGTATCCTAGGTAATTATAATTATTTTTTATTTCAGATAGATTATTTTTAATATTTAGAATTTATATTCTTAAATCATTCTTTTATTTCAGAATTACATTTGAAACAATGATTGTAGATAATTGTACAATGCAAATGGTATCCAATCCACATCAATTTGATGTAATGGTATTGCCAAATTTATATGGTAATATTTTGGACAATTTAGCATCTGGATTGGTTGGTGGTGCTGGTGTAGTTGCAGGTGCTAGTTATAGTCCTGAATGTGTTGTTTTTGAACCAGTAAGTTTTGAATATAACATATAGAGATACAAGATATAATAATTCATTAAAATTTTCTATTTGTTTATTATTGATTTATTACTTAGGGTGCAAGGCATACATATTCAGAAGCTGTTGGTAAAAATGTTGCAAATCCTACTGCTATGCTTTTATGTGCAGTAAAACTTTTACGTCATGTGAATTTGAAACGTTATTCTGAACAAATTAAAGATGCATTAAATCGTGTTCTAAATGATGGAAAAGTATTAACAAAAGATTTAGGTGGACAGAGTTCTACAACAGAATTTACAACTGCTGTAATACACTGTCTTCGTTAATTTTGAGTTTATATTAATTTTAAAAAAATTCATGTATAATAGAATCATATAAAATAATAGTAATCGTTTTATGTGGTCAAGAATATTTAATATAACTATGTTCAATTACATAGTATTATTGCATTACAAATTTAATTTATCTGCTTTGGAATTTTATTTAGAAAAGAGTATATATTATAAATAGAAAAAGTCAACATTTTTTGTCTCAACATCTATATTTATAACTACAGTGTTTGTAATCAAACAAACCAATTGTATGATAATATAATGTTTAAATTGTACATTAATAAATTATACTACCTCAGTCGTTTTTATATATTCTACAACATAACCTTATTGCACTGTTTTATATAATAATTTATAAAAAATATTATAAAAATATTAATTTATTGTTTAAAAATATTTAATTAAAATAACATTGAATGAATATAAAATAATATCATATTTGAATATATTTTATATATTTTCATAAAAATTTTACATAATAAAAGAATTATTAACATTTGAAATTTTCATTTTACATTTATGTACTTATCAGTATTAAAGTCACATTCCGTTTTTACCGTACAATAAAAGTCGAAGTAAGAAATTGTCATAAAAAAAAAAATTGTGCCCCGATGGACACTGGAAACCATACAATAGAACTTATTCATCAGGATATTGTAAAAAATCAACTTCAAGTCACGGCTTTAATACAGGTAAATATTATTTTAAACATAAATTTTTTCATAATAATTAGTATAACCTGAATCTTAACTTTCTTAATATCAAATGATATAATCTATATTAATTAGATTATTGATAAATTTATTCTTATAATTATTATTAAATAAATTACAAGTACAATTTATTGATATAAATTTGTATTATGATAATAACATTTTATATATCTGTTAGAGGTTAAATAAAGAAAGATAAATTTTTATTATATAAAACAATTTGTAAAATAATATAAATTTTTCAGGATATTCAACAATGTACTGGTCCTTTAGAATTGCTTAATGAATTAAATGCAGAAGGCAGAGCAAAAATAGCAATTTTAAAATCATCTATAGATAAATTAGCATCCATAGCAGAGAGAGAACTTTCAGAAAAAAAAAAAATAGAATTATTAACTGAAGTAGATGTTTATAAACAACAACTTAACACTTCTTTAGCTGCATTTCGTAAAGCTAATGTTGTTAGTATCTGTGTAATAGATAAACTTGCTAAAGAAGAACTACTTTCTATACCTGAAGAGCAACAATCTGCTATTCGTAGAAGACATGACAAGAAAAGTTTAGCAAATACATCGAATCAACTCTCTGACAAACTTTTAAGTATATCTAGACACTTAGCTGAAACAACTCAAAAAAGTGCAGATACATTAGATACATTAAGTATATAATTTTTTTTTATAATATATCTTAAATTTTAAGATATGATTTTTAATTTATTACTTTAAACATTTTTAGTTATATCATCAGATAAAGTTACCAGTACTAAAGATGAATTAGAACATCAACAACAAGCTATAGTTCAATCTGGAAAACTTTTAGGCAAATATGGTAGAAGAGAAGTTACTGATAAAGCTTTAGTAGCATTAGCATTTGTGTTTTTTCTTGCTTGTGTTATTTATATCTTACAAAAGAGACTATTTTAAAAAGTATAATAATATTATGTATCAAAAACTTTAAAATCATTTATAGATATAGATATAAAAATTATATTTTAAAGAAAGAAGTATCTTCTAAAACATGATTAAATTGTTAATAATTTTATGTATAATATTATTTATTATTTAAATTTGATAAAAGACATGTTTTATAACTATATTATTTTACCAAAAATAAAAATATTTATGAAATAAAAAAATTTTCCAATTCCAATTACTATTCTAATATTTTATTACTATTATTGAATAAATATTTGAAACTGTGTTTAAATTACACAATTCTGTAATAAAAAATATATCATACAAATATAAAATTGATATTATTAAAAGAATAGAATTATGAATTTAATTAATGAACAATATTAATTAATAATTATTTAATTAATAATAAACATTAAACATTCTAATTATTATATATTATACTATTATTATATTATATATTATATTATTATATATTATTATATTATATTATATATCTATAACTGTTTTAACTTTTATAATTATATTATTGTTCAAAAATTCTTCGTCAAATGTAATTATTTTTTTCATCATTATTCTCATCAACATCTATATTTTCAAAAAATCTTATTCATATATTTTTAATTATTTATTGAATAATTTACTCATTATTTAGCATCTCATAAATTGTGGACAATATGATCAATATTTCTTTGTGATATAAATGATAAAATCTAAAATAAAACAAAAATAACATTATATAATATCAAGATACTTGACTGAATGATCACTAGATAATGATATCCAGCAGAATTTTTTGAACTTTGATTTTTAATGTCTATTAGTAATTAAATTAGTTTATTAGAAATCAAAATATATTCATTATAAATATTCGAATTAACAATATTATTCTTATCATCAAAAGCAATTTGAATATATTTTGCTGGATCTTTTAACAAAAATTTTATATAAACTGATTTTAAATCATTAAATAATTATAGTCTTTTTCGAACAATGTTATTCAAAAGTTTAATATAATTTTTATATCTTATTCTTTAAAAATTCTATTTGACATCAAAAAAATAAATCGCTTTGGAAATATGTATAGTTATTGTTTTTCATCATTACATATTTTATAAAATTTTAATGAGAAATATTTATTGAAATTTCTAAAATTATTAAAAATTATCTTGTACGATAATTTTTCTAATTTATAAAAAACAATTAATGATATCAAATCTTTTAATATCAAAATTTAAAAAGGTTAATGATACTATAATATAGGAAATTTAAATATTTTGCAATACGATTTATAATAATTTTGTTTCTTCGAAACAATATTAATTTACTGTTACACTTTTCTTAACTATAAATTATTCTCAATCTAAATTTTATCTAAATTTTTATTAATATATCAGTTATTTTTGGGATATTTATCTTCAGGAATCTCCACTTTATAGATGTCCAATATGGAATATCTATATATTATATTTGTTAAAATTTTGAATTTAAATATTAATTTAATTATATTTACGGAATAAGTTATACTGATTATACAAATATTATTATTTCAAATTAATTCCTATTTATTCACATTTTAAGTTATGATAATTATGCTCTAAAATTTGAATTGAAAAAATAATATTCATTTTTCATCTTAAATAAAACAAAAAATAATTTAATAAAAAGAAACGCATATATATAAATTATTGATTGATATATCATGTTTTTTCATCGAACATCTTAATATAAAAGCTATTTATTCATGTCTCGCAACGTGTTTCGCAAGGAATATTAACAGATCAATATACATAAAATATATTTTGTTTCATTTACTTATTTCACTTTATCTGTATAAAATTTTTGTATTGAAAAAATAAAATTCTAATTATTGAAAAAAAGGAAAATGTATTGTATACATTCATCATTCATTTTTCGCGTGATAATTAAGTATGAGTAAATTAGATAACGTGATAAAATAAGAATTTAATTTAATATGACCTATATTCGTTTATTGCTTGGTCTAAATTCAAAAATCAATAATGACTGCAAAAGTTGATTACATTTTAAGATGAAGAAATCACTTGCAAATTTTTTAACGCAATATTATTAAATCTTTACATATTTTTTCTATTAAAAATATTAATAACTCAATAGATTGGAAAAACGATATGTATTATAATAATAATTAATCATGATCAAACTTAATAAAAATGATTACATATAATACATATTTTCCTGCTATTTAAATAATATATAATTTCTCATAATCATAATCAAAATATATTTCGATTTTCTATTATATATAACTAAAACATTTTTTTCTTGAAAACTTTTTAATATTTAATACTTAAATACAGATTGAAGTTATTATATAAATATATATTATATATATTAACGAAAAAAGATCTATATTATATTAAAAATAATAATCTTGACATAAGATGATCACAAATATAGGATTTATAATCAACTTAAAATAATTATGTAGTCTGTAATATAATTTAAATGAATTTCATGAATGAGTCATGATAATTTTATATCTCTATGAAATAATTGCATTCAAATACCAAGTTGAAACAAATAAATGAACAAAATTTATTAAATTTAATGATTTTTTTTACCATAATAATTTAACACAAAGTATTTTTAATTAGAAATCTGGAATGCAATTGGTATACATTCCAATAAATGAGTATATCTATAATTAAATAGTTATTTCTTTACTGCGTGTTCTATTGTAATAAATTTTATACGCATATAGAATACACAAAAAGATTACGTGTGATGAATGCAAAATTTATTTAATTCACCAGACATAAATAGATATCTCTCTAGGATTTTCCTCAAAATCAATGTGACAAAAAAATGTCACATTGCACTATGCTTTTTTATTGTTTCATAAAATATATCGTGATAAAAACTTATTTTCGTATATACTTTTTAATAAAACATTATATATTAATAGATATATACTAATTTGATTATTTTTTAATAAAATATGGATTTAACTCAATTACTCTCTTTCACAATTTTTAGTTTTCATAATCGGAAAAATATAAAAAAATTAAAGATAAACATAAAACCGTTACAAATCCAATCATTATATTTTTTTTAACCAGTATGAATTGATATATAAAATAGCAGTAAGCATTCAGCATCACTTCATTGCGAAAGTATACTTCTTAGCGCGAGTTATCAGTTCAAACTCTTTAATATAAATTGGAAAAAAAAAAAATATAAATGACCGGATGTTTGCATAAAAGATTTTTATTAATTATATTTGAATAATGAATAAAAGTTAAAAGAAAAATTATTTATATTAATTTTATTATATTAATCTAATCAGTTTATTCAGAAAGTGTGAAGTTTAAAAATAAAAATACAAGACAATCGTATAAATATATATTAGGTAATGTATCATTTTTTATCATTTAATTTGATAGCATAAAAATTTGTAAATGTTATCTATAGTGTTTCTATAAATAATACATTTGCATATTCACTTATTTATATTTTTTTCAGATATTCGTTAATTTTTAAATTGAAGAAATTGAAATTAACAAAATGAAAATTTTATTTTTATTTTTATTGTTTATCATCACTGGATATGCAGCTCCTTGGTTTGAAATTCTTTTTGGCAAACAACAAGATTATACTTATCAACCATTGAGTTACAAAAATCAACAATCAAGACGACAACAAGGAAAAAGAGGAGGAGAAAGATGGAAAGAAATTTGTAGAACAATAAATCCTGATCCTTATGCTTTTCCGGGTCGAATACCTTATCCTTCTGTACCAATTTGTCCTTAAATAATTAAATTATTTAATAATTATTTAAATATGCGTTAAAAATATGAATTTATTGTAACAATATCAGAGAATACACAAAGATATTCACTGGTTATGAGTATTTCAGTCAGTATATAAGTTTACTATGTAATCAATAACATAAAAGTACGCAGTCATATATATATATATCTATCAGTATAAATTATGTATGAAGAGATAAATTTGTTAATGATGTCTTTGTACATTAATATAATACGTTTTCCTTTGTATTATGTCCACTTAATTAATCGTTGTTATTATATTATTTAAAGCTAAATATTATTAATTTATCTTAATATATTATAATACATCAAGCTCTTTCATCTTTTTTTTTTACGTAGAAAAATAAATCACTCTATTAAAGTAACTTAAGTTTTATACTCCAAGAAATGCGTTGTATACAATAGTTGTGATTATAAATGATCTTATTTACTATATCTATATATTACATATTATGTACAAATAAAAATCACAGAATTACTGCAGCACATGAGTTCAATCATAAAAATCTTGATTAGATTGTTTTCCCCAGAAAAAATATACATTAGAAAAATTTGTACATTACATACAGTCTTGGAAAGTGACATGATGAAAGAGAAAACAATCATTTCCAAACTTGTATTAATCCATCTGTACTACCAGTCAGAATACAAGTGTTTGACATAGATACTGCGGAAATTGTGTCATGATGTCCAGATGGCGGAGTTTCTGGACCCTGACCACCTTCTTCAGAATTTCTCGTTCTAATACTATTACTTCCTCCAGATGATGGAATAGGACCACCTCCAGCTAAAACTTCTTGTACTACATTAGTCCCATCAATTAAACGTTGTCTGTAAAATTAAAATTTTTTTAAAATTATATTATATATAATATAAACTATTGTTTTACATTATTTTTATTATGAATACTAACTCATATGCTAATGAATTTGGAGGAGTAACATCAATAGCAGCAGGCAATGCAACATATGATTCATTGGGCGCATTTAAATCCCAAAAACGTAATCTCATATCAGTACCACCAGCTAATAAAAAACCTGAACGATCAATGCATCCAGAGTACATTGCACATACACTATGACCACCTTGTGAATGGCTAAGAGGAGGTGCACTTGATGCCCAAAGTACCATTTGTCGAAAATCAGTTTCAAGATTCCACATTGAAATTTCGTTATTTCCTTGCACAGCCGAAATAATCCATGAATGTTCAGTAGGATGAGTAATTACTTTTCTTACTCTTGCACCTAAAATTGAAAATATTTTATAAAGTTTAATATTTATTTGATTTCTTATTTTATATGAATTTAAAATGCTTGTAAATTTACTTGTAGGATGTTTAATACTAGTTATTGGTAATTGAAATCGTAAGTCCCAGCACGTGTGGACTCCGGAACTAGTACCAAGAGTTAACCACTGTTGATAATTATTTACACAAAATGAAGTAATTACTCCGTGTTTTAAATCATTCTCTAAACGCCACGTTGTACCAGGACATCTTAAATCCCATCCTACTAATGCACCATATAATGATGCATATACAAGAACTGATTGTGAACCCGAATCTAAATATTGTAAATCAACTGCACATCCTTCTTCCTAAATGTAATAATCCAGAATTATATTAATTTATCAATATTAAAAAATACATTTTAATATAATTTATACAATTAATATAATTAATTACCTGAAGATCTAATTGTCTGGTACCAATGACATTCATTTTACTAGAATTTGATTCGATTCGTAAAACAAATACTGTTCCTGATTGACTAGCAGAACTTGCTAATGATTGTCCTTGATCACATATAGCTAAACCAACCAAAGGACCACCTCTGTGCATATAAGTTTGTCTAATGAAATTAAAAAATAATACAAACATATTAAATATTTTATATATATTAGAAATATATATAAAAACATATTATATATAGAATATATAATACATTATATAAAGAATCTACCTAGAGCGATTAGCAATGTTTCGACCTTCCATTTTACTTGCATCCCATATTTTTATGCATCCATCTGCAGAACTACTGGCAAATAAACTAGTATCTGGTATAGAAACTAGCCTATTTATTGCAGCTCTATGTTCATGAAGATGTGCAACTGGTACTCCTCGAGGTCTCCATCCATTTGGTAATAATCTTGAACCTTTTTTAATTTTTAATAAAAACATTTATTATATCAATATTAAATGTAAAATATGTATATCAATATATATTATTAAAATAGATATTAATTACCAGCTTGCCATGCAATATTATCAGCCCAATGTTGTGCTCTTAATGCAGCAGCATGTTGTTCTTGCTTTCTGTATGTTAATTGTCTTACTTCTAATCTACAAGGTGCACATCTATCTACAAAATTATATAAAAATTTTTGTATATGCAATATTTTAATATCTAAAATATTTTTAAAACACATACATTGAATATATGAACGTTCATGAAGAGAATGATCATTTATGCTATTCATGTCAGACAAACTATGTTGTGGCGATAAATGAATATCTCCTCCATGTAAACTTTGACTAGGACTTCCATTACTTCCCGTCATATCTGACATTTTAACAGTATGCTATATTATAAAAAATTAATTATAATTCTATAAAAATTTAATAAACATGGCTCATTTATTTTTAATTACTTGAATATTATCTTGAGCTGCAAACATTGTACGCCATTCCTGATTCATTGTCGCATATGTACCAACACTATCTGATGTTCTACGATCTAATCGTTTAAATGGTGGAAGACCTAAATCGGATTTTGTATCGGGATATAATATTACTATATGATGTCTTATCTTGTCTTTCATAGTATTTAATTCTAACTTTCCTTCCATTGGTTTAATTGTATTCAACTTCGCATCCACCGAATTTCGATACTTATTAATTTTCATTAAATGTGGCTTCATTGTTATTAATTGATCTTCAACAATTTCAGTCATTGACTCTGAACTTAATCGTCTGAAAAGCTAAAAACTTTGTTTAGATTTCTCGAGAAAAATAAAATATGTTTATAAATAAAATTTACAATTTACATTTCGTAATGAATTATTTGTTTCACTATATTGTGGAACCATTCCAGGCAAAGTTTTCGTTCGTGCAACTTGTCTCTGTTCAAGACTTTGAAATAATTCTTCTATATCATTATATTTCACAACAGAATCATAAACAATTCTTGGTATAGGAGGTACTAAAGCCTCTAATAATAGAATTTCTTTTTCTATTTGAATTAATGAATGTTTTAAATATGGTTGTATCATTGATTGAACTTTGCATTGAACATCTACTAAATTAAGTGTTCGTGCAGCTGCAGATATAAACCCAACAGTCGCATGTCTTATCCATAAATTTGGATGTACCTATGAAATATTTTAAATTCGATATTTTATATTAATAATTACAATTCTTGATAATTAATTTTGCTAATGACTTTGATACATTATTTCTTATATCTTTAGTCATATGTTATTAAAGACATTATTCTGAATAATTTTTCTTTATAACTTAATTACTGATTTCTTACAATTTTCAAGATAAAAAAAATAGTGATTATTTGAATTTTATTAATTTAATTAATTTAATTTAATTAATTTTCGCAATATAATATCAAATATAATATTAAAATCTAAAATCAAAATCAAAATCTAAACTAAAAATCAAAATTAGCATGCTATTTCTAATGTAAATTTTTAATCAATATTTAAATTTTAACTTACTAAAAAAACCATAGTTTCATATAAAAGTTGATAAAGAGCAGATTTGTGTAAGAGACCTAATTCTGTAAGAGTTGCCATTGCATTAATAGCTTTTGTTGTTACAAATTCTTCAGGATCTGCTAATCCTTGCTGAAGAAGAGGCATTAAAATAGGACTACTATGCCAGCCAACATAAGCAGCTACACCAACAATACATTCAAAGAAAGAACCTCTTAACTCTTTATCTTCTTTATCATTTAAAAAAGTAATAATATGACTAAGCAGAATATCATTGGCTTTTTGTTTTCCAAAAAATACACACAATTTATTAATTCCACTTTCTATTAATGTTTGTTTTACCAAATTCTGAGGATCTGTTAATAACATGGACACAGATTGTTGCACCTAATAATATTATATATTTTAATATAAAATATTAATATAATATTATATATAATAAAAAATTAATTACCATTTCGTGCAAAGTTTGAAGTTCACTATCATAACTTGGTTTTGGACCTTCTTTGTTACCTAAATTAGATAAATGAGCATTCTCTAAGTATCTTAATGCAATATGTGCTAAATGTGCAATATTTTCCGCATAAGCAGCTCTAACAATTACAGCTTCATCTTGTGTAATATGTGCTAAACCAGGTAAAATATATTCTGGGAAAATGTTAACATCTGATGGTGGAATTGATTTTACAAGATGCAAACATTTTGTTAAAGTATGTATAGCTGACACCCGTACTCTTGGAGCAGGATCATGAACTAAATGAAACTACAATATACATATAATATAATAAACATTAGATAAACTTTTTTTTATCAATATTAAATTTAATATAACTTATAAAATACTTACAATATAAGGCAAGATTCTATCCAATATTGTTTCATCTGATGTGTTTTCAGCAAGTTCAAGTAATATTTCTAAACTTTGTAATTTAGATTGAGAATGATGCAAACCTCTTATACATGAAGTAACAAGTTGAGTAATGATAACTAATCCTTCAACAGGTTCCGAAGATAAAGTTTTCTTTTCATTTTTTAAATCCAGTTTTTGTTTCTGATTTTCAATTAATTTAACTTCTGATCGCTGATCTTTTTGATTTTCGGATTTAAAATCTTCTATTGAAATAATTTTTGAATCAATTTGATTCATATCAGTTTTGTCAAAACTTTGATCACTATCAACTTCTACAATAGTATTATCTTCACTGTGACCAGAATCATCTTTAGTTGATTCTATGTTATTTTCAAATTGATCAATCTTAATCTCTATATTTCTTATATCAGTTTTTACTTTTTTATTTTCTTCTGCTTTTAAAATATTAATAATATTACCAATATCTTTTTTAAGTCTATTATTTTTTCATCAGGAGATAAAATTGGGGCAGCAGAAAAAATAAGCATATATGGTTGCAGAAACAAATAAAAATATTCTGGAAATACTGTTCCACGAGCTTGAGCTAGATAAATTTCAGCACTTTTTCTATTTGTTGGATTTCTTTCTAGCATAGATGCAAGAAGTTCGCGTATTCCAGGATCTTCTATTGTATCCAAATGCTTACTCACTGAATATTCATTATTTCTATATGCTTAATATCATAATAACACAATTCTTTAATACATATACAATAATTCTATAATACAATAACATTATATACAATTTATATATACCTAATAATTGAGAAAAATCAAATGGTGAATGTCCTTCATTATATAATTCTGTTAATGCACAGCCTGCAGAAAAAATATCCATCATTGGATGTAAATCACCTGTCTTTAGTTCTTGTTCTGATAACAATAATGTATTGTTTAATTCTGAAGATAGTGTTTTCACAAATCGTTCTGGAGCTATATAACATGTTCTGAAATGATAATTGAATTATAATTTACCACAATAAATTAAAGATAATAATTAAAAAAAAATTATTTGCACATGTACCTTCTCCTAGAAGTATCAAAAAAATATGAAAAATCTGCAGGATTATCTTCAGGTAAATAAGTTGGTTTAAAACTTGCAAAATCTGTGAGTAAAATCCAGTTCCAACTAGTTATCATAATGTTTTCTAGTTTGATATCACCATGACAAACTCCAAACTATAGTAAAATAAAAAAAATATTTTAAATGTTATTGTATAATAATGTACATGTTATTATACATTATTAATATTATTGTACATTTTATAAAGGAATTACATTTATATTCATTTATATTCACAGGATTACATTTATATTCATTATTTAATAGAAAAATATTTTAACATATTTAATCAATTAAAAATTATTTCATAACAATATATGAAATTATTTAATTTGATTAATTAAAAATTTTTAAATATTAGTTTACCTTATGAGCTTGATGTAAAGCATATAAAATTTGAAAGGTAATCCACTTCTTTTCTATACTTGTTAAAAATGGCCTGGTACTAATTCTATCATAAAGAGAATATTTTACATATTCTCTCATTATTGATCCTGATTTTTCTGTGAGCTTATAAAAACATATAATTAGTTATAATTATAAATAGTAAAAATTATTATAATTTATATAACATAAATATTACGTAAATATACTTACAATCATTCTTTGAAAAGGTAGACAATTTACAGCAGATGCTAATTTAGATCTAATTTCTTCGAGTTTTTCTTTATAAGTAGACAATGGAAGTGTTGGATCATGAATAGCAAAAACTTTAATTACTATAAGACCTTCTTGACTTCTGGCACGAGCCACTTTAAAAAATCTAGTACTTCCTAAGCTATATGCACAATAATCATAAGAAAATAAAAATATACAATTATTCCTTATTTATATATATTTATATATATGTTTATATATATATATATATATATATAATATAATTATATATATAATTTTGATTTATATGAATATCATAATAATTTTTTTTTTTAAAGATCTTATCAAAATATTTTAATTCATATTAAGTATGTTATCAGATATAGATTGACGAAAAATTGAAAAATGTGTTAACTATCATTTTTATAATTATTCATATTAGATCAAAATACTTACTTTACGTCGAATAATAAATCACTATGATCCGTCAAATAATGTTCTACTGGAAATATTTGACTAGGCGCAATACCGACTAATTGATTTCCCATTTTGTAAATCGATGTTTAGTTGAAACTGATATATTTGCAAGCAGCATCCATTTTGTGCCAACTTCACATAATATATATATATATATAATATCGTATGCAAAGCAATCATACGCAATATAGTCATTTATAAATTGTGCTTCCTAAATATAATGTCTTAAATATCTCTAATTTTTTAAATTAAAAACTAATTATAATTTCAAATATTGTATAATTATATCAAATATTGTATAATTATATTTGATCAAATATCAAGAAAAGGAAAATATAATTAATTTATTTCTAATAAGATTGGTAATAATTTTAAATTACAATTTACTATTATATTTCTAGTGAAATATCTATACTATTAATTTGATTTATTAAATTATATTAGTCATCATATATTAACAAAAAAAACATGTAAAATTACAAAATAAAATGAAATTTATTTTAAATAATTAAAAATTTTTTATATATACATAATATTATTTGATAATTAGAATCTAAAAATATTAGTTTTAACTTTAGAAATTTATGCTATTATATTAAAAGTTATATCATAAATGATTAATATAATATTATAAATAGTCTATATTTTTAAAAATATATATTAATTTTATATTAATTTTATACTATTAAGTTCGTATGCAGTCACTACAAAATTGCCATGGGGGTAAAATGGCTGGCAGTGACACATGATGTAAGTAACTATATAGATAGTCTTAAAGAGTTTAGAGAGTGATGCTATGCTATATGAAAGATCTTTAAAATGTGTTGACTTTATTAACTTTTGTGATTAAATTGAATATAATTCAATATCATCATTTTCAATTGTAAAGAGCACATCAAATAATTTTTAACGCAATCGATATTTCAGATCATAAAATCAATTCCCGTTAAATATTAGATCTATCCTATATCTCATTTGTGGTTATGTATAGAGAAATCACTATTTATTATATTTATTATATAGTTAAAATTATATAGTTATATAGTAAAAATAAAAATAAAAATTGACTTTTTTATTAACAAATATTTATTGTCGATAATATAAAAAACTTCCGCATATCGAAAAGATGGTGCCACTAATCAAAGACCATTAATAAGTTCAATTTGTTGTCGATAATAACATATCACAAGTTTTTTAAAGAAATAATAATGCTGATTAATTGTTTAAAAAAAGATTATAAATTATTTTTAATTTATATTTCTTTATAATTTATTTTTGTATTCATATCTATGACATATGTATATTTTATATATATTCCTATATATAATATCCTATAATTTATTTTTCCATTATATATATATATATTTATTTATATAAATTTATATTTATTTATATTTTTATATTTTCATACATATACATATATTTAATTTCAAAAAAAATGTGATAATTTAAAAAGATAATTATATAAATAAGCAAATATTTATAATTTTTTCGGAGTTATTTTTTTCTTATTATGTAAACTATACGTTTATAAATATAATTTATCATAATCTTCAAATAAAATTATTTATGATATTACATTCCAATTTTCGAAACGGAAACGTCTTTTTGAGTTGTATTAGCTTATATGATATCACAGTTAATATATCATAGATTTAACATCTTACGTTGTCTGATGCTTATATGTTTTATAGATCCCACGAAGCAATGAAAAAATTTGTTAATTATATATGATTTGCTATCGTGTATCATTATATACTAAAAATTAATAAAATTATTTGAATTGCATTTAAAACATTAGAAACTCAAAAAAAAAAAAAGAATAAATTAAAGAATAAAGAATAAAAAAATGCAATGTTGTTATATAATAATATAGCATTGATTTTTGATTTTTCAATTAAAAATATATGTCAATGCTTAATATACGTGAATTTCACAATATAAAAATTTTTAGAAACTTAAAATTATTTTAATTTATGAAAGAAAACAAATATAAATAAGGAAAATAAAAGGTAATTAAAAATATTATTCTGTATAACATATTGTTTTTAGCAACAAAAATATTAAATTCTATTTATTACGAAAGATAATCGAAAAAATTTCATATTCTATATATATATAAAAAATAATTTCATTTGAATATTGATAATAAGACAATAATTCAATAAATTAATAAATTTCCGTAATTTTAAATTTATATTTTTATTGTCGATAATCGTTGAACGTAGCAGCGTCTACAAAGAGAGCAACTCCATGACAGTGTCTATTATAACCATACTGTCGATGGATAGCTCTCTTTATAGCGCGCGCCTTTCATCGTTGTTCTTCATTTGAAGTTTTGCCTTGTTGCATCTAATATCCTAAAAACTTTAAATTTTAAGCAATATACATTTAATATATATAACATTGTAACAAAAAAATTGCATAATGAATTTCAAAAAATAAACCATAGATAAACATGTTAAAATATAAAATTTTAGAATATTATTCATATAAAAGAAATTTGATTCATATAGCTATTTATATTTTATTGAATGTTAACAAGAAATCCGGATATGCAAAAGAAAATACTAAGAGATAGAAAGTATCGCCGTAATGGAATATAATATGAGTATAGTAGCTTTGCTTGTTATCAGGGAGGTGCGAGCAACTTCTTCCTCTTTAGCGTTGCCACCTGATTGCGCGGTAAACATAACCTCCGTGCGTTAGCTCGTGCCATGAGTTGTTAACACTTCCTTTTCTTCTTCATTCTGATGCATACGTTCAAATATTCAAGCCTAAAAATACATTAAACTGCAAATCAAGATTTAATCGAGCGATTATGCAGTTTAAAGATTACGATATAACTTAGTAATAAATTTTAATGTCAAAACATATAATACGAAGAGTCAAACTTTGAATTGATCGATAATTCTATCAATTCGAGATAAGTTTAAATAATTCATTGTACTGATAATTGTTATCAAATATCACTTAGTGGAAATTTATAATTATTTTATAAATATTCTTTAATTTAAAGAATTTAAAAAGAACTAACAAATGCTTAAATAGAAAATTGAAAATGTATAAGATTATAATATGATTTAAATTATTGTAGATTATTAATACTGTAGTAATAATAAATAATTATGTTTGTAATTATATATCTTATTATAATCCACAAATAATAATTTTTAAATAGAATAAAATAAATAAAAATGAAAATTTTTCAAAATAGAATCAAGATAGAATATAGTATTTTATTTTATTTGTTCAGATGGTATTTTTCTAATTCTAAACAACTACTTAAATAAATATTTCGTTGGACTGAAACATTTTAATTATATTATATATTAATTATTATAATATATTATAATATATTATGATTATATATTTTAATTATATTTATATTTTAAATATTTTTTTTCTTTTTAATATTACGTATATAAATATTACAATTACAATCAAAATTGTAATTATTAAAATAAATTTGAAAATCAATAAACATTAATTTTATAATATTTTAGTTATAATCAATAATAATAATATAAGAATGTGTTACTTTAGCTATAAAATAATAACAATCTTTTAATTATATTATAAGTTATAAATAAGCATGATATCATAACGAAATTTATTATATATTTTTTTTTCGTTATTTTTCAAAAAATTTCTTGTACAAAAGAAAACTAGATGAAATTATATAATGAAACGAGCATCTTTAATAATTACTTACACATGTATCATATCCTTTTTTTTAAAATACTCTTCTATTACCCAAAGAATCAATAAAAACATACGTTTATTAAATCTGACGACAAATATCGAATATCACCTTTGAGAGAAGCCACCGATTACATTATCAGTAGACAACGCGATAAAAGCGATAACGAGTTGGCTCGTACAGGTATTACCAAAAATCCTAGAATTTTTTTATATAGTATAAGTAAACTATAAATTAAGTATAATGATGAAATAAATATTGAATATTAATTCAATCCTAAAAAAAATTTTTTAAAAAATAAAAAAGAATGAAATCAAATCATATATACTGATCCCCTATGCTTCATCGTAGCCTATTTACCAACTTTAATGAGTTTCACGTTATCTTCTTAATTGCATGTCTATTTGTAAAAAAGCATAGTTATTAACAAGCCAACATGTAAAATATATTTTACTTATAAAAATTGAATATTTAAAAAATATATGATTCCGAGATTTTTTCTTGCTAATATTGTAATCTTCTAAATAAATATAATATATATTTAATTTCATTATAATAATTGTAACAATATTAATGTCAATGTTCTGATATAATCGTTAATTAATATTATTTTACAATTAACTGGATAAATCCATTCAGTTCATTTAATTCTATATATTTTTTATGTTATATACGATATTTTATGAAAATAATATCATTAAGATGAAAATAAGATGAATTTATAAACACTAATTGAGGTTTTCTAATATGCGATGTTTTTGTTTATCAAAAATTTGTTCTAAAGACAATGTCACGGAACGAGTATCTTAAATACCTGAAAAATTCAACAACGTTATCGGGGTCGTTGTAAAATGTTTCATTACCAATGCCCATATGTTACATAATCATTATTTCAAGCGTGAAACCAACGTCGTGTATTCTCTACTAGCAATATCTCTGGAATTTACACATGAAAAGACCTCGGCACGAAGAATTCCAGCTGTAAATACTTGAGGTCGCAGGAACTTCAGCGGCAATGGATATGAACGCCTTCAACGAAACAAGATTTTTCTTTTTTCTAAATTTTCTATATGAACAGCTTTCAAATATATTCACTAATTTCAATTTTTACGATTTTTATTATAACAATGAAAAAACACTAAATTGATTTACATGAAGATAAAGTTCGTAGCAACTCAACGACTTACCTAATAGGTACCCCTGGTTTCAAAATCATAACTGATCACGCTAGACTTCCGGATGAACATACATTCCGCTCAAAGCTTCTTTTCGATACACGTTATTGTATGAAAAAAAAATATATACAGGGATAGTGAAGTCATGAAAGGGACGTATAACGAACTAATGAGAAAGTTAATAACTGACGAACAACTCTTTACAGAACAAACGAACGAAGAGGTTCAAGAACGAGTGACGTGGATGTCTCTCCGGTTCGACTCATATACTCTACCTGTGCTGATCTGACGTCACGGGTATGCTTCTTATCAGGTAGAAGCGCCAACACCTGTAAGCTCGCACCTGTATGCTTGAGCTTACCACCAATTGGAACGCCCTGAGCTGAATTTTCTTATGAAAGATATTTCTATACTCAAGACAATTAATATTCATTTAATTCATTTAACTCATTTACTTAAGCAATTAGTTGAGAATAATACGAACTTTATCAGAAAATCTAGTTCATCAAAAGCTTTTAAGGAAAGTTCTAGTTTTAAGTCGTATTTAAGAATATAAGTTTCGCATGAAATATAATTAATGAAATAGTATTTAATTCTAAAGTTTTTTTTATAGAAAAGGAAGAAAATAAAAAAAATAAAAAAGAAACTATACTTGACCGTCAATTCATTTTTTAAAATCTTTGGAAAAAAATAATTATAAATCCATGGATGTAAAACTGACGAGCGATATCAATAGCAAGAGTTAATGCTGTGGTTCAGAGTAAACACAGGTTCTATAAAAAAGAAAAGAAAAAAAAAATAATAAAAGACAGAAACGGAACCGTTGCTTTGACGATGTCACGCGCGTTTACGTGGTGCGTTGCACCTTATCTCGTATCCTAGTTACATCATCGTACACGATTTTGTAGTTCTTACACAATTCCGATCGGAAGGAAGAATAGGCATCGCTGATCAATTCATGATTTACTAATAAGATCATGTTTTATTCATCATGATAAATTTTTCATCGTTTAATTAAATTATATTTTATTTTAGAATAATACACATCGTTCAAAAAAGTTTTTGATTTTAATTAAATTGTAATAGTTGAACGACTGCCAATAGGAGCTGATGATTTGCTCCTAAAAAAAAAATTTATATAGTAATTCTTTTAATAATTTTTGCATTTTGATTTATTATTCATAAATACCTGTAGGCTTCATAAAAAATTTTTCTGACTTCCTCAAACATTTGTTTATAAGTTGCAAGATCGGCAACTTTGTCTTTTTGTACAGCATCTAATCTAGCTTTTAACGCGAGACATTCTTCTTGTAATAATTCCATTCTATTTAAAATTTATCAAAAATTATTAGATAAAACTTAAATATTTTAGATAATTTATATTTACATGCCTTCTGTTGCTTACTTAAGTCGCATTTGTTCTGTATCCATTAATTTATCACTAGTTTTTGATAATTTTGGTAATTTTGTTCTATATCCAGTATCGATCTTAACAATTCCTATTTTCTCTGTCTCCAATTTTCGAATTTTTAACTCTAATTTTGCCGATTTGTGTTTTTCATTACGTAAGATATTCTACATATACATATAATTCATCTGATTAGAAATTCAATCAAGAGATAAGGATACAAATAATATTGTAGAACACTCACAGAAAGAATATCAGCGTCATTTTTTTCTTTATCTAGTCGTCTATTAAGTATTGTTATTAATTCCAGCAATCTCTTTCTTTCAGCTTCAGCGGCAAGAGCTAAAGTTACATACTCGTTAGGTTCACATGTACTTCGAATAGTATGAGGAGAAGTATTATTGTTAAAAGAAGTATTATTTAAGAATATTTCCGGTTGCATAATTTTTCGAGATTTTATCTCCCATATATTGGGGACCGTTCCGTTCCTAAAATAAATAACACATTTCTATAAAAATCTGTTTATACTTTTTATTTTTTTTAAAAATAGATCACTTTAATTTATCTATTTCGATTTCTCGTTCTTCTAATTTTTTACGCAATCGATCAATTTGAAGTTGTGCTGACTGTAAATCATTTTTCAAGTTCGTGTATTCACGTTCAATCTTCTCTGATTTGTTTCTTGTATCTGTCTCGCGTTCTTCATGTTTTATTTCGATAGTTTTAAGCTGATTCTACAAAATTCATTAAATATAAAGCAAACGAATAATTTCAACATCATCGAATACTTACGTTGAGTGTCTCAATTAAATGAATATCGTGAGATCTTTTTTCATTTAATATAGCAATATTCCTTTTGCAACATTCAACTCATGTTCTAATACTTTTATTCTTGCTCTTAAAGCTTCTAATTTTCTTCTATATTCTTCAACAATGACTTCCGTTTGTCGAAGTTGTTTTATTGAATCTTCAATTTGACGCCGTCTTTCTTTTTCAACATTTCGAAGATTCTCAAAATTTTTTCGTTCTACGGTTACTAAGAAAAAATATAAATTTTATAAATAGAAATCTAAAACTTAGAAATTTTATTTTAATACCAATAGATGTTTTTTGCGTTCCTTCATATTCCGATAATTTTGATTGCAGTTCAGTTATTTTTTGGTGTAATAGATGGATTTGTTCAGCTCTTCCACGCCATCCGAATTGATTCGGTAAATTATTCAAATTTATATTTTCACCGACTTCGCTATATAATAACTACATTTGCAGCTTTAAAACTATCTTTTTCATTTTTTTTATACAATTTCCAATAAGATATTTAAATAAAATACCTTATTCAATTTATTAATTTCTTGTTTAAGACTAGTGCAATTATTTTTAGATTCATATAGTTTTGTTTGAGTTAATTGTAATTTTTCAAGTAAATGTTTCATTCGATCCTCATCTTCCCTCGGCAAATTATTTTTGGTACCTTTGTCAAGGATACCATCCTGTATCTCGATCATAATATGATGGAATAATGATAGAGGAAAGTAATAGTGTAAAAATGTTGTGTGCAGTTGAAAAATCTTTAATATAACTCACTCTGTTGAGAGGAGTCATCAGTTTTTAAATGCCTTCTTTCGTGTCGCTCATTTTCTAATTCTGTTTCTTTATTAATTAAATGAATTTCAAGATTTTTACATTTAGATTTAAGAACTTCAATCTCTGCAGTCTGTTCTCTACATCTTTTGCTAAGCTCAATAATCTTTGCAGTTGCTATTTCATTTGGTTTTCCTAAAATTATTGATTGTCCATTTTCTGCGATTCCTTTTTTTCGTACTTTTTCTTCCATTTCTTCAAGTGCTCGTCGCAAACAACCATTTTCGGTAATTAAATCCTATTATATTTATATATAATAAAAATTATTCATATTTAATTTAATTTTATATAGAATTTATATGGAATTTTATAATGAAATTGAATGAAATTATTTTATATAATCAAAGTATTACATGATTATTATTTTCAAAAACAATTATAATTTCATAAACAGAATTTATTTCGATTACCTGAATTCGATTCTTCAAAAACAGATTTAATTCTTTTGGAAAAATAATATGATCAGGTAAATTCTCCTAGGGCATATTAAAAATATCATTCTTTTCCGTATATTCTACGAATATAATTCAATTATAAAATACGTATTATAACAATTTAAGAATTAAGTACCTCTGTTAATTCTTTTGTCCATGGAATCATCGCTTCAAAATCTAAAGAATTATTCATTTCATCTTGTATTTTATATATTATTTCTGATTTAGACATATTTCGTATGAATATTAAGTTATTAAAATTTTTTTCTAACCTCCTTTAATATAAATTAAGACAATTTTTCAGTTTTAATATACAATACTAAAATTGTCATTAAAAAATGACATTTTTTATCTATGAACTGCATATAAATTTTATAACAACGTATTGTTATGTAAACATATGAAGTTTAAAACTTTTGTTCTGATAAACATCCAATAAATGAAGATTTCATATACATGTTAGGTTAATAACATAAATAAACTGTACAACTTCTAGTAGATAAATTTTTTATCTATATTATCCAACATATGAATGTTTACAATTAAAAATAAATCTTGATTACATAAAAAAGCTTAATTCTAAATGTCAAAATAGGGAAATAATGAAGTTAAAATTTAAACATTTATTTCAAATTAATTGATTATGTTTTTTTCATTCGCATATTTTGCTTTCCTTTATTTCCAGCATGTTTTTGAATGTTTCTGTTATTTCCACCTGCTAATTTTCCTGCCTTTTGTAGAGCATGCAATTTAAAATTTTTAACAACACCTACTTTTTTGTTGCTTCCAGAATATTGCACATTTATCCTTCTCCCATTAATAAATGAATGATTGAGTGAAAGTGCTTTCTGTTAATAAATAAGTATAATAATATGTAATTATGTATACATGAATTATGTATACATGATTGATTCTAATATTTAAAATAAATGAATTACATACCTCATAATCTGTATTATTGACCAATTCAATGTAAGCAAATCCACGTGCTGTGTTTGCATCTTTCTTAGGTATCCTAATATCAACTATTTGATTGACTTTAGTCAAAAAATGTTTTTTAAGTTCCTCATTAGTAATACTAAAATATAAAAATATAATAATATATATAAAATACTATATATATATATAAAGAATTTATTTAATATTTAATACATGTTCTTACTTATATGGTAAATTTCCTACGAAAAGAACATATCTTTTCTTTTTATTTTCTTCCTCTGCATTTATAGATTTTCCTTTCTCTTTTAAATCTTGTATACTACTTTTTTTAATTTTATTGTTTTCATGTTGCTTATTATTTTCATTTGTTTCATTTTTTTCTTCTATATCATCATCATCATCATCATCATCATCATCATCATCCTCATCCTCATCCTCATCATCATCATCATCTTCATCCTCATCATTATTCTCTTCCTCTTCTTCATTTTCCTCATCTTCCTCATCATCATCCTCATCATCATCATCATCTTCTATATTATTTTCATCTTCATCTTCATCCATTTCAATTTCTTCCTTATCTTCATCACTATCATTATCATCATCTTCATTTTTTTGTTTTAAAGATGTTAATGTCTTATTTTGTTTAACATCTTTATTCTTATTCTCATTTGACTTAATTTCTAATTTTTCTTCCAATTTTTTTTTCTGTTCAGTGCTTTGTAGTTGTTTCTTTTTAACAAGTTCTATTGATTTTTCATTTTTTATATTTTCTATTCTTTTTTTATAATTTGTTTAGGTTTATCTACTCCTTCTTCCATTCTTAATCTTTTTTTAAGTGCTGCTAGTTTTCTCCTAGCACTTTTTGTAAGATTTTGTCGAGCTTCTATTATTTGAATTTTTTTTTTTATTTCTTCAACAGATAAATTACGATTTATTTCATGCTTCATTTGCCTATTTGCTTTACGCTTCTTACGATATTCTTCTCTTTTTTTTAACATTTCTAATTTATTCTCTTTATTTGATATCTGTTTTTTATTTTTTGTGAATTATTTTCATTTATTTCTTTCATATTAGAACCTTGAACAGCTTTTGAATCATAATTTTTTTTCTTTTCATTTTTGAACTTTTTTGATATATCCTTTTTAACTTGTTGATTTGTTTGTCCATTTTGTATTACTCCATTTTCTAATTCTTTTTTTTATGATTTTTATTAAAATTTCCTGATATTTCTGTTTTTTTTTCAATTGCCTCAAACTCACTTGCTGATCGTTTTTTCATGTTTTTAACCATATTTGCTTTAGTCATTATTATATTATTTAATATATATTATATAGATTTACTGTAAATAAGAAATAAAAAGAAATTAAAAATGTAATTTTATGAATATTTAATAATAGTTTGTAATAATAATTAATAATAGTTTATAATAATAATTAATAATAATTAATAAATTTTATTAAAATAATAATTTTAAAGTAATAAATAATGTTTAAAGTAATAAATAAATTGTTAACTTTAAAAAATATAAGTTCAGTATATATTGCATATAATTTAATATTTTACGTGTATAATTGTACTATTAAAATTGAAATTATTGTTTTAAATTTACTTTTTTTTTACATCTATTTTAATTAATATAATTTAATATTTTTATTGATATTCATTAATTATTTTATATATTAATTATTATAAAGTAACATATATAAAATAAATACGTATTTTTTTAATTTTATAATATTAAATTAACATACCTTTCCAAACGTGGTCGCAGATATAATTTTTGAGGTTAACTCTAACACGATTCTCGTATTCGTGTATATATAAGTAAAGAATAAAGATGTACAATTATGATTTCGATTCGTGTTATGACGCATGCGCATAAATTTTTATTATATTTTATTATATAACATTCTATCCTAAAGTTTACATTTTATAAAAAAATATAATTTTTTAAAATGCAGAAATAACATAATGAATAAAACATAATATATGTGCAATATATGTTATTAATTTAATTAAATAAAATAAAATTTTTAAATTATTTCAACGTCATTTCCGTTATATAGAACGTCTGATTTCATATTTTTCATTTAAAAATAAAAATAATTTTTTTATTAATTATAATAATTATATTATAATTAAATTATATAAAATTTTTATACAAATAATATAATTAACAAAGTCATTGCTATATTTTTTCAAAATATACTATCTATATTTAGACAGATATTTATATACATCTTTTGTTATAATATTCAATAAACACTAATAAAAAACTTTTAATTAATAAATTTTTATAAATAAAATATAATTATTACATAATATGTTTATTAGGCAGTTAGCATTACAACTTTTGTATTGCTTAATATAAGTTAAATATAATCTCTTCACAAAAAATTTTTATTTGAAGATGTAATTTATATTTAAAAATATATAATAATAAAAATTAATTGAATATAAATCTGTCTGAAACTTAACACAAAATGATTGATTCATGATAATAAAATAGAACAAAATGTTAATATAGTATATTTATAGTTATTTTTCTTAGAATAGAAATATGTAATATATGTGGAAGACATTTTGATAATTGTCAAATAATTACAGTATATTAATAAATTATTCATAAATATATAAAAATATTGATGTAATATAACTAATACTATATATAAATGCAATATATTTTATATATTTTATTACATTTATGTTTGTGACTTGATTTAATATCTATCATATAATATTTATTGTATATATGTATACAATAATCTAAAATCTTGTTTTGTATCAAATAAATATTATAAAAATTTAATATGGATAGTTACATATAGTTATTAAAAATTATTTACAATTAGAAAGTTGTTGTTATATTGATATCTTTATTTTTATATTAAAAAATATAAAAGAAAACATAATGACTAATTAATACTACAAAATTTATCAGTAATTTATTCATATAATTATTATATTATTAATATATTATAAAAATTTATTATTTATTTTTTAACATAATTTCTTAAAATAATTAGATTCAATTTAATTTTTTCTTTTAAATGCAGTTAGTGTTGTATACAAAATTTCTAATTTCATAGAAAAAACAGAAAATGCATACAATCATATAAAAAATTTTAAAGCTATCGATTTATCTAAACTATAAATTCTTAAGAGCATTTTTACAATCTGAAAACAATATTTTATACCACTGTATTAGAAAAAGAGTGGATATATAAATAATACATAATTGTTCATTTGTCTTGCAGTATGATATATAAAATTTATAAATAAAAAATTTGTACAAAAAATATATTAATTACTTACAATTAACTATGTTATTAAATGTTTGAATGCAAATTTATATCAAAGTTGTTCAAAAAAAAGCAGTTCCATGTAATTGAAAAAATAACTATCTTTCTCATTTTATAATAGCTATAAAAAGTTTAATCAAAATAATAGTGATATAATAATAATTATTGTGTCGTATGACATCTAACACAAAAAAAGTTTATTTGTGCTTGCAAGCAATGGTATTATAAATTTGTATATAAAGCATTTCAAATTTTACTTTTTATTATTTTACTATTTATTATAATTAATATTCTATGACATTAAAATGATACCTGAGGTTACTTAATTTTGCATTTAAAGTTTTTTTTATGTTATATATAATATTATAGTTTTGCTGTCATATTTGAAAATATTTTACATATTTCGAGTAACTATAAATTAATAATGAAGTCTATTTTTATATCTTTGCATGAACTCTCACAATTTTTTTGTCAAACAGAATATTCATGTATTGTTATCACTGTCTTCATTTATCAAAACAAATTAACATTACAAACTGTTAAATATCGTTTATCATTTTGTCCAGATGTTAAATATGTACATACAAGAAATTAGTATGTCTAATCAGCTTTACGTGGCTTACGTTTACGAACATTTGGACTGCTTGGTTCAGTTTTGGAATCTTTATCTACATCCTTTTCTTTTTCTTCTGTCTCTGATCCTTCTTGTTCAGATTCTTCATCTACTAAATCATCTTTAACATGTTTAACAATTTCTTCATCCTGTATACTTTTCTCTTGCATAAATCCTCCTGATCCTTCTTTTTGTTTCTTTTTTTCTTGAAGCATCACAGGTTTTGGTGGATATATAAAATCGATCAAACAGACAATAAACTATAATTATAAGTAAAAATTATATTAATTTTAATTCAAATAATTTAATTGTATTATTTAAGCTTACCAATCCTAATATTGCACCTAAAACAATAGTAGCAATAGCAAAAATTAAATAACTTCCCCATGTAGGTAATCCAAAATCTTCCATAAGTTTATTATGTATTCCCTATAAAAATAACTTGATTTTATAATATATTTAAAATTTAAATCAGTCTTATTAATTTTTAACAAAAAGTCTTTACCCTTAATACTTGTGACATTTTAAAGAATTGACTAATAAGAGACATTTGAATAGAGGTTGGACTTTTCCAACCAGGAATTGGTTCAATTTTTTCCCATGTTTTTTCAGATACAAATTCAATCAATGAATCTTTATCTCTAGGACTCTTATATTGCCTAAATATGCCATCTTTAACACTAAAGAAAACATTAAAATTTAGTTAAAAATAATTAAAAGTATAAATCATCATATTATTTTTATAACATAAAAAATCTTACTGATATATTGTTGGTAAAGCTGTAACCATAAATCTTCCACTAAGTCCTGGAGAATCAGTTACATCAACTTTTGCTACATTAATATTTAGATTCTTCTTTTGTGAAGCAAGATGTTCCCAAATTGGTTCCAATGCTTTACAAGCAGGACACCATGGAGCATAGCTAAATCGCAAAATACTCAATTATAAATTATAAATTATAAATATATAATTAAAATATAAAATATTTAATATTATAATTTTCAACTAATTTTTAAAATATTTTTTATAAATCTCTTATATTTTTAATTTAATAAAATTCTTTCATGGCAAATATTTGAAATTAATGATATCATCAAGTGGAATATCAAAATATATACAAATGTGTTTGCAATATAATTTTTGATATGGTATCAAATTTAACAACATGGAATCAAATCAACTCACAATTCCACCATCCATTCTCCGATTAATATACGATCCCAATTTTCTTCAGTAAGTTGTTCTGCAAAAGTATTTTTTGATGATGTCTGAATGTTTGCATTTACAAGATTCAGAAATAAACAACTATATGTGATATAAAATAGAAAACGGAATTTAGTGAACGACATTTTATATTTTACTAATTTCCACCGGTACCGTAGATACACGCTGCCGGTCATAGGAAGAAACACGAATTTAATCTATTATAGTTGGTTGACAATCAAGTAAAGAAACACTATACATATATATTTAACTATATATTTAATATTATATAAGGAACAAATGATAACTATAATTCATTTTAAAAATTTATTTAAACCATTGCTGTAATTAAAAAAAATTTTTTATATTATTAAAATTTTAATATATATATTATTAAAATAAGTATTAAAAAAAAAAAGTATTAAATAAGTTTATTAAATTTTTAAATTTGAAACATAGGATTATTTTTTAAAAATAAATATATAATTAAATTTTATAACTGTAATTAATTCTAACTTCTTTTTTTGTAAATTATAAATGAAATATTATTTTTATATATTATTAGATAAGTTACATTTAATTAAATACATAATTTAAAATAATTTCTTTATTTTAAAAAAAAATTTATGCTTTAAATTTTTATATCAAAAATATGAATTGATTATTAAAACTTTTCAATATTATATTTTTTATATAATTTTATATTTTATTTAAATATTTGAAATAAATGTCAATGTTTAATGCATTATTACAATGTTTAATATATATATACAATGTTTTTGACATATCCTAAAATATTTCAAACTATCTATCTATAAAGTATCATTATTAATGTTAATATTCAATGTAAATAAAGCTTAAATATATTTGTTGCATTATTTTCATACAATATCTTTGTAAAAAAATTTAGTGGTCACATATTTATAAATCTTATTTATGTTTAAAATAAAATTTACGAAAAATATAAAGACTAAAATTAACTGAAATTTCGAAAGTATGTAAATAAAAATATATTTTAATTTTATTCTAATTTTTTTATTATATAATTTTCATTATATTATTTACTATATAAATACTAAATAAATTATTTTATTAAATTATATAATATAAAAAATATTATATTAAATATCTTTTAAAATTTTAATAATATTTTTTTAAATCGTATTTAAATTTTTTAATTTTATTTTTCTAATAAATTTATTTTCATAATTTGATATAAAAATGATATTTTCATTTATAATGATAAATATAACAGATTATTATTTTTAATATATTTTATTTGTCATTTAAAATTTATATTATATTAAATTATTAGCAATTAATAGATTTTACTTATATAAAATTTTACTTAGATTTTACTAATGTAAAAACAAAATATTTTAAAAAATATAAAAATTCTATAGATAATCAATATGTCTGCTGTTTATCCAATCTTGCCTAAATTAGTTGAACGAGATAGTTATGATGATGAAGATTTAACAGATATTGATGATGAAGTATTTATCAAAGATGGAAAAAATAAATTAAAATTAAATAATGATAGAGGAGTTAAACGGCCTTTAATGGCACCTCATAGAAACTATAAAAAATCATATAATTTTCAAACATATGGATTTTTAAATAAGGCTGGTTTTGGACTTATAGCATTGATAATATTATTAAGTTTAACTATATTATGTATATATATTATAAATGTAATACCTGGACCAATGTCAATCTTAAAAAATTGGCTATCATATAATCTTAAAGATTCATTATATGAATCTAATATAATACCATGCACATCTCTTACATCAAAAATTATATGGACTAAATCATTGCCAAAATTAACATCAGAATCTCCAATAAGAAGCAATGATGTAAATGATGATGGAATTGAAGATATTATTATTGGATTTAGTACAGGTTTTTATGTATAAATAAATATTTTAGCATACTTATTTTTTATTTAGATTTTATTTAAAAGCTTGATTTACAGGTTTTAACTTGTAGTCTTATGATTTTACAGAATAAATGTTTCAATTTATAAGGTATATCATTTTTATAATACATTTAATTTTAATATTTATATCTGATTAAAATATAGATAGATATTAATAGATATATACATATATAAATATATAAATAAATATTAATGTAATTATATATAAAAAATTGATATTATTTTGACATACAGGATTGGATATGATAAATATTCCAGAATATGCTTGTACATCATATTTTAATGGCCAAGTTCCATGTTTTGGTGGAGTTTTAGCTTTAAATGGTAAAACAGGAGATATACTCTGGATACATTGGACAGCTCATGCAATTTTCTCAATTGATTGTGGTTTAGATTTAACAAATGATAAAATTAAAGATTGTATTATATGTGGTCGAAATGGAATACTTCATGCAGTTAATGGCTACAATGGAACTAGTATATGGGAAATTCCAGTTCGAGATTTATCAATTTCAAAAGAATGGAAATTTTCAGATATTTATGATGCTAGATTTATTGCTGATATTAATGGAGATGATGTTGGAGATATTATTGCATCACATGCTATACATTCAAGGAAAATTCATACCAGTGAAATTCTTATAATATCAGGAATGAATGGGAATATTATACATAGTTCAGTTTTACCAAATACAGAACAACTTTTTCTAGCACCTCAAACACTGATCCATCCAGATGGAGAAAATATTTTTATTCTTGTTACTAACAGTCAAAAACAATCAAGTGGATTATATATAATTTCTCAAGTAAATTTAATGTATGGCAACTTGGTAAGTTCCTTTAATATTCAAAGAAAGTATATAAATAATTTATTATATTATATTATATTATATTATATTATATTATATTATATTATATACTTATAGAAATTACGAAAATTACACCATGATACAGGAAAAGGAACTTTATTACCTCCAATTTTAGTTGATGTAACATTAGATGGAATTGAAGATATTGTTGCTTCTATGTTTAATTCTACGATAATAGTTTATAATGGATTGACCTTTGAACCTATTTGGAATTATACAGTACCTAATTCTGAAGTAATAAGTATACCTATTCCTGGTTATTATAATGATGATAATATTCCAGATTTTATGGTAAAACATCAAATAGGTTCAGGTTTTCCAACATATTATTATACAGTTGCAACAATTATAGATGGAAAAACTGGAAAACCTTTATTAGAAAAACCAATAGAAGATAGTTTAAGTAGAGAAATGTCTGGTTTATCTGTTACTGTTGAAGGATTTGGAAATGATTGGTTTTTACATTGGTCAGTTGATTGTTTAAACTATGAAGGAATTAAAGAAAAATATCAATTTTTAAAAAATGAAGATTTTATATTAGAATCACGTGCTGATCTTTGTAAACTACGGTTTAATTCTACTCTAATTACAAATTTATATGCCTTGAGCCAACATGTTGGACCACCTGGTATATCATTATATTTTTCTGAAGACTGGAAATTTTTAGAATATAATAATTCTTTGAATGCCAGAATAGAATTACATGAAAATATTCCTTTTGTACCTGAACGATTATCGAAAATTTATAAAGATTACAAAGAAAACTTAAAAGAAGGACAAGAAGATTATTATGAAACTTATGAACAACACACGGAAGATAAAAAATTTACTTCTAAAAATCAAAATAATATTTTGAAAAACGAGAATAAATGGATTCAAAATAATATACAAACTAAAGATTATGATGTGTTATATAATGAAAATAATAAAATTAATTTACAAGAAGAGCCAATAGATTATCGACAAGAAGAAAACAAAGAACGAGAACAAAGAAGTAATTCAAATTTAGATTTCAAATTTATCAATCAATCTGGTAACAAAATAAATGATTCTGTAAAAAAAAATATGCTAAAGAACAATATTAATCATAAAACAATAAATTTGAAATCTTTAATATTACAGATTTTCTGAATATTAAAAAAAATAAAAATATTGATGAGAATAATAAAATATTAAATAAAAGAACAATTAATTATGACATAAATAAAACAAAAGAAATAATTAATTCTATGGTAATATTATTAATTATGTTATTAAAAAATATGTTTTATAGAAAAAAACACAAAGAATTCTTTTTCTTTTTTAGGATATAAAAACTTATGCTCATAAGTTTTCTAATATTAGAATAACAGAAGATGTTATAATAAAAAATTTTAAACAAAAAAAATTAATAAAAAATTGGTATAAAAAAAAAGATACTAATTTTAAGCCAAAATTAGAATTAGAGCATAAATACGAAATAAAATTAAAAAAACAAAAAAAAAAAGGGAAATAAAAACTAAAAGCAATCAAATATATTCAATACATGGTGTACAAAAACAACCACCATCTGGAATTTTGTTACCCTCTATTTCAGAATCAAAAGGAATAACTTCTATAGATTTAATATTTTCTACATTTTGGTTACCATCTTCTGAAACACCTATAATATTAATTCAAGAAGACTTAAACTGTATTCACTGGAAAAAAATGCTTTCAGAAAAAAATTTACAATATAAAAAAAATGATGACATTATTGAAGAATGTTTAAATGAACGAGGTATTAATTATAAAACACATCAAGAAGCAAGCAATAAAGAAAATTTTAAAATTTCTCTTGGACAAATGACAATATATAGAATGAAATTAGAATGCATGTGTCCAGAAGATATGTTACCTAATCAAATCTGTAAAAATATATCCTTGCATCAGAGTTGGTCTGAATATTTAGGTTCACAAGGAAATGGTATTTTAAACCACTTTATAAAAAAATTTTTAAATAATTTACTTATATATATATATATATATAATATTATATATTGCACAAGAAATATTTAATTCATTAAAATAATAAATTCTTATATTTTATTTTTAATTATATAAAAATATTTTTTTCTAAATTAAAATTATTAAAGTTTAACAATAGCATTGTAATAATTATATTTATAAATTCCAATCATTAATATTTTTTAATAAATAATTATATATATATTAATTAAGTAAAAAAAAATTATTACAAAATTTGAATACTTACAATATAAAATTTGAATACTTTAATATTAATATTTTAAAAATACAATACTATCTACTATATAATGTAATAATCTATAAATATCCATTATATATATGATCTTATCTATATATAAATTATAAGATTGTCAATTATTATAACATTCATTTTTTTAAAATACTTTTTTCCAAATATTTATAATGTTTAATATAATCATAATGAAAGTATATTATTAATTATTTTATATTATATATATGTTATAATTAATGTAATTTTTTTTAAATATATTAGAAAATTATTTAATATTAATATAATAAATTAAGATTTTACTATATTATTTCAAAAAGCCTGAAGTTAGGTGTTTGATCAATATCTATTTAATACACAAGTTCCTGAATAATTAATATATATATATATTAAATACATTTTTTTTATAAACTACATAATTGATTAAAATTAAAATATCAAAATAGTTTATAAAATAAAATTATTTAATTTTAAACATAATGTCTGAGAAACAGATATTAAATCGTAAGTTATAGTTTATAATATATTTATTATTACATGATGGTGATTTTTTCATATATTTACATGTATACAGAATATCCTGCATATAATGATAAGCAAAAATTTCAAATGTCTGATATACAAAAAACTTGTGTAGATGTAAGTTATTATATAATATCATTTTTATTTTATATCATTTATATCAAATAATTATTAATATCAAATAATGTGTGATCTCTTATTACTATAAATTTATAGAATATATGTCAAAAAAAAGTATTTATATGTAAAACTAAAGAAAAACATTTAAAATATAATTTGAAGGAACAATATTGTAACAAAAAAGAAAATTGGATTGCAGAATTTAAGCAAGTTAATATGATAAATAGTAATTTAGAATATAATTAATTAATTAATTATAATTAATAAATAATGTTATAATTTTTAATTTTTTTTCTTATATAATATATTAATATATTATATATATATTATGTATATATAATATATTATGTATATCTTATGTTCTTCTCCTATATTTGAGAAATGATTAGAAATTTACATAATTGCTTTTATATATATCTAATATTTATAGAATAATGGCTGGACATCATAAATCAAATAAAATTGGATATTGTAATAGTTTCAAATGTTTTCGTCGACCTATTGTACCATTTTTAGTATCAAAAACACAAAATGTAAACATTCCTATACGATTTAATCATGATATTCTAAATAATATATTAACAAATGCACAAAAGCAATGTTATGCTTTTTCATCTAAGTCAGAAGCTTTTAAAAATGTAGGAACACAAACAGATTATCGAGATAGTGAAGCGCAAACTATTCCTTGGGAACCATCATACAGAATTAAATTAGGTATATAATATATAATATAAATATATTTCATATCTTTTATTAATTAATTAATTATTAATCATTATTCTTTTAGGACATAATCCTGAAGTATTAACAATAGTACATTTAACTTGGAATCATGGATTACAAATTGGAAATCATGAATTAGAAATTATTAATAGAATAAGAAAAAAAAAAGCATGGGAGGCAATTCTGCCTTCTATGGATACACCGGCTAATATAAGAAAAAGAACAGCTATAATAAATGCATTAGAAGTAGATGAATGGGCATTTAGAGAATCGGTAAATATTTTATTATAAAAGTATTTATACTAATTATATTTATCTTAAAAATAAGATATTTTATAATAAAATTTTAGGAAATTCAAGCAATAATGGATTACAGACTTGAATTAATGAATGAAATATCTAAATCATATGAATATGAAAAACAAAAAAAAATTCAAGATCGTTTAGATAGATTGACAAATCTTTTATCTCTGCGTAGAGATAAAGAATAAATTCAATTAAACATAAGCTTAGAAGAGAATTAAGAAAATTATATAAAAGATATCAAGAAAAATCACAACCTCTCAAACATGATATTATTGAAGAACATGCAAATCCATCTTCTGAATTATATGCACCAAAAATGCGTTATGGTGAACATCCTCAAAGAAGACATGAAATAATAGAAAAAGAATTATTAGGAGAAAGTTTCATTGAAAGTAAATATAAATATATTAATATTATATAATAATATATATATAATTATAATGATATAAATAATTATCATGTAATATTATATTATATTATATTAACCTAATTATCATGTATACTATGTAATATATGTATTATTTATATAATAATATAAGTAATTAAATTAAATATTAAATATTTAAAAATTAATTAAATAGTATTTTTATGTTGTATTTTGTATTATTTTTCAAAATATGTTTGTTTTAGATGTAACTGAAATAAATACTTTGCCAAAATGGCTTCCAACATATGAACAACTAAGTGCAATAGAACCTAAACCTAAGTCAGATGATTTATGTATTAGAGCAACAAGATGGACAAAAGAAAAATTAATTCAGTTACATTCTGATTTAAAAGCAATAAGACTAAATACTATATATGTGACAATAGATGTACCAATATTATTAAAGCGCAAGTATAAAATGCCATCTTTACCTCCTACACCATATAAAACAACTATAGAAGATATAGCAAATACACGTCTGCATCAATTGTCTATACTTATTCAAAAAATAGTTAGAGGAAGAGCTATTCAGTGCATGGTAACAATTAAATAGAATATATATATATATACATTTATTTATTTATTTTTTTATTTATTTTAATCAATTCAAATTTAAATAATTTTATTTATTTTATTTTTTTTATAGATGTTTGAAGGTCGCAATAGATGTAGGGAATTAATTGAAGAATTACAATCATCTTATGGATTAGAAGAATATAGTAAAAAACAAAATCAAAAAGAAAAACAGCGTACATTAGAGTTACAAGAATTACAAAACAAAAAATCTTTGCAAGATGATCGTTTATGTGAAATCTTAAATTCTTTAGAAGGAATGACTATATCAGGAATGCTAGATTTTCTTACTAAAGTATAATTCTAATATTAAAGTATAATTAAAGATTTGCTATTGTTAAAGTAATTAAATATAATTTTTGTAATATTTTTCATTTTTCTTTTAAAGGAACTAATAAGATTAGAAGATGAACGTCAAATACATGCTTTTGCATTATTAGCTGAAAGAAAAAGAGCTATCAGAGAAGCAGCAGAAGCTGGAAAACGTCAGTTAGAATATAATCGTCGCAGAGAATTTGACGAAATATTTAAACAAATTATAAAAATTAATCAAGATTCTGTAGAAACTTATTTAGAAGATATAATAAAAGAAGGCATTGAATGGATATCCGATGAAGCAACTAAAGCATATATTTCAAAATTGTGTGATACAATAGATAATATATCAAAAGTTGCACGTGACAAGTATGATGAGAATAAATTAGTTTTCTACAATTCTTTCTAATATATTTTTATAGTTTATATTTTATAATTTTTTATATTTTAGTGAAACAAAATTAGCAGAAGAAGAAATGATAGCTAATATGATTTACAATTTCGTATTACCAGAAATAGAAAAAACTACTTTACGAAAAAATATAAAAGAAAAGCAACAAGTTTATTTGCAAAATGCTCATGCTGTAATCTATAATAAAATATTGAACTTATCATCTGTTGAAGATAAAAATTAATTGAAAAAAAATAAAAAAATAATATAAAATAATAAATAATATATTTTATATAAAAATTATCTATATAAAATAATAAAAAATAATAAAAAAAAATGTAACAAAATATTTAATTGTAAAACATTGAAAAAATTACAAATATTGCTGTCTTAAAAAATTTCATTTATGATTTTTATTGTTTAATATATTATATTGTTTTATTGTCAAAATTAGATATTATTAGATACTATTAGATACTATAAGTTTTCTGAAAAATATTTATATAATTGTGAAGTATTATGTAATATTACTTCAATTGTGTATATATATATATATATTTAAAAGAGATGCAATTTAATATTTCATTTATTTTGAGAAAGAGAGAAAGAGAAAGAAATGATAAGATATGAGATATGAAATAATATAAAATGAATATTATAATACTAAAATCTATATTGTAGAAAAATTTATTGTTAAAATAGGCATAAAATAAATTAAAACAAATATAATTTTGTGTTATAATTTTTACTAATAATTTATTGTCATTAATTTTACATGAAATCTTATATAATTTTTTACCAATATTAAATAACATCATTTCTGAAAATAGGAAAATTATTATAAATATAATATAAGAGCAAATTAAATATTAAATGAGATCTAATATTTTAGTTTATAATAATATATTTTATATGTTATACTTCTTAATGATATATATAAAATAATATATAATTCACATATTACTGTATATAATTATATCTTTTAATATATTTATTGATTGCTTTTTAAATTTATACAATAATTTAATATACACTTCTTTACATTTATCCATGTATTTTTTAATAAAATCTTGCACTAAAATGAAAAAAAACAATATATTTTGCCTTTCATGTGTTTGAATTCATAACTTAGTTTTTGTTTTAATTAAAAAGATATAACTTTCATTTATTTATTAAACACAATATAAAATAAAATATTATTTTGTTACTATATTTTCAAATAATTTCAAATTATATTATAAAAGCAACTTCATATAAAATTTGATTTTAATATATAAAAAGCTTAAACATTTAAATTTATTCAGTTGTAACACAAAAAATGCAAAATACACATAGAATAATTTTGCTTTGATATACAACCCCAATATATACATATAGTAAATTAATGTGAAGTTGAGGGATATGCTTCTATAGTATTACCTGCAAGAAGATCAGTCATAAATTTTTTAAATTTGACATCTTTTGCATCATTGGATGATATTCTTTCTACTATTAATTTACGTTTTTTTGCTTGTAGTTCTTTTGTTTGTAATGAATCAGTTTCTCTTTGATTAATCATATCTATATGTTTTCTTTTACAAGTTTCTATAGAATCAGGTTTCTGAGTTTCTTCTCTAGCACGACTTAGTTCAGCTGTTAAATCAACCATTTTTTGTTCCCATTCTTCAAGATGTTTTCTCATTTCTGCTAATTGTGTATCTTGATCATGTAATTTTTTTGCTTGTTCTTGCAATTTTAAAGTTTGCAATCTCATTTGAAAACTTTGTCTTTTTATTCGAAGTTTCATTCTACTAATTTGACCTTTCATAGATAGAACAGATAATTTATTCATTTTAGTACGACAATAAATTTTTTTAAAAGTTTGATTCAATTTTTCTGAACTAAAATTATGTGGCAGTGTTGCATTGCTTGAATTTGTAGTATGATGAGAAATCATTAAACTTCCACTTGGCAATTCATAAGGACCTACATTACTAACAACTGAAGTACAAATACTATGTCTTAAATCTGGTAAAATTTTTTCATCAAAATGTTCCATAGCCATGCTACTAATATCTCTTAATTCCTGAAGTATTTCATGAGCTCTGGGTGGAGTTTTAGAATCTCGAATCAAACGAAGGACTCGAAAAATTTCATCAATTACCTGATATATAAATATATATTAATTTAAACATCAAAATAATTATAAAACTATTAATATTTTACCTTTCCAGGAATAAAACAGCATAAATTAAGATCCACATATTTTATAAAAGTCATGGATAACATAGATATTCTTGTTTCAATTGCTGTTAATATATCACAATGACGTGCTAAAGGATGACTTCTTCTTTCTGATTCCCTTCGTGGTAATTGACTTTTTACTGCACGCAAACATTGTGCGTGATATTTTTCCATTAAATTAAAACCTCGGTTTAATAACTTTTTACATATTCGATCAAATTGTTTACAAACCTGTTAAGATACAATTTTTTTTTTAAATCTTAATATATATGATTTTAAACAATTAATTATTATATACAAAAAAGAAAAAAATAATCTTACAATTCTATATCGAGAAATTTCATCGTATGTAAGGTTAGACAAAATTGTCTCTAAAACAATATCTGGAAGATTTATTAGTTGCAACATATCACTGTTTTTATTTTGTAATTAAATTCTTAATACTTTCACTTGAATAAAATTTTTAAAATAATACTAAATTATATCTCTTTTCAAGTTAATGCAATAGGATAAAAATGGTGCAGTTGCAACTAGAGTGCATATAATTACGATTATAATGTTTTGACCGACCGATGACCTATAAACAAATATAGCTATTGCATATGTATCTGTTTACAATGTAGTTTACTATCTATATTCCCATGATATAATAAACTTGCTAGTTTCCTCTCTAATTTTTATGCATTTAATGGCCGGATGTAACTCACATCAGTTTTGGCTGCCATATTGTTGTGTCACGTGACGAGGGAGTAGTGAGGTGAATGCGCCGGGTCGAATTCGTGACAAAGAATTAAAAATTTGGATACCATCGTTTGCCAGGAAACCAAATACAAGATGGATGTACGAAAAGTAACAGAGTTATTACGAGCCACGATCGACCCAGAGCAACAAAAGCAAGCTGAAGAGCAGCTAAATCAGGTCGGTCTACTGATTGAAAACGTGCTTAAATGACCGATACTCCAACAGAAACATGTGCTTCATCGATATCATTTTCCTTCTTTATTATTCATCTTTTATATATATTTTTTTATTATTATTTATCTATTTATATCTATGTAAATAATAAGTATATGTGTGTATATATATATATATATAACACACACACAC